ATTCCCGCCAAAATTCTTTTTTTGAATTGCCGCCAAAATTCTTTTTTTGAATTCCCTCCAAAATATTTTTTTCGAATTCCCGCCAAAATTCTTTTTTGAATTCCCGCCAAAGTTTTTTTTGAATTCCCGCCACAATTCCTTTTTGAATTCCCGCCAGAATATTCTTTTTTTTAACTCCTGCATTGATTTGTACCCCGTTGTACCCCCGAGTTTTTGTTCCCTCCGAATTAATTGCCGATTGAAACCCAACCTGACAAGGAAAATACCCGAAGTGTCCCCTTGCTTTTTTTAGATATTGGTGGCAAATAATGTCCCTTCCTTGGACTAGCACAAAACGGATAATATAAGCGGCCGATGCGCAGTTATAGCAGAATGGCAAAATTTGTTGCGATTTTTCAGAAAAAATGGGACAAGTCTATTCGAAAAGTCATAACTTTGTACAGACTGCAGATGGAGATTCAAACTAAACTGCATCTTATAGAACTAGGTTGAGGCTACGAAAAACTTAATTACACCTTCATTCTATATCTTCAAAGAAGTTTACTAGGATGGGAAATGTCCAAATGGTCCGACTGTGTGAAATCAAAAAATGTCGATTTTCGAAAAAAACACCTTCGGGAGACTATGTCCGTCCGATTCCTTTCACGTCATAATGCATAACTATTCAAATATATAGCTCACCGTTCATTTACGAGAGATTTTTGAAAAACTAATTTTTCAAAAATCAATCCTATACAGTACTGGCCAAAAAGGTATTCGCAAATAGTTTTTCGAGCATAACTTTTCTGAAACTTCCCGGATCAATCTGATATTTTAAGACAAAGTTTAAAACGGTAAAAGAAACTGATTCAACAACAAGAATAGTCAAAATTTCAAAAAATTGAAAAAAAATCGAAAAATTCATGAAAATTACAAAAACCGGTAAATGGAACTTTGACTTCTGAGATCTAGGATAGACCGGTAAACGAAAAATAACAATAGAAAATGAATAAAATAGCTTTAGTACTTCGTTGGGAAGCCTTTGGCGTCGATTACCGCCTGACATCTTCTTGACATCGAGTCGAGAAAAGTGTCGATGACAGACATCGGGATGGCCTGCCAGACATCTTGGAGTTGGTCGAACTTCTGGTTGGCATTCGAGGCACGGATCCCTCTAAACTGTCTCTCGACATGCTCCCAGAGGTGTTCGATCGGATTCAAGTCCGGAGATTGACTTGGCCAGTACAGAAGATCCACGTACACAAAGCGATCCATGATGCCCGTAATTCTTCTCAGCGGGCCGATTGAAGTCCCAGAGAAGCAGCCCCAGACCATCACCGATCCACCTCCATGCTTGACGGCCCTAAATCAGGTTTGTACCCCTTTGTACTCCATGAATTGCCCTAGCCCTCAGAATTTTTCCCGTTTCATTCAGAGGAAATACAGTATCTTACCTTATATATAAAACAGTAAG